CCATTTTGTGGCCCAAAATCTAAGCTGTAAACTGATTTACCTGAGCTGCAGTCTCAGGCAGAGAGAGTATCTTTAAGATGTCTCAGCAAAGCGGCTTATATTTCTATGCAAGGAAAATGGGAAACAAAAATATTCTCATGTATTGAGGGGAAAATTTCCGGAGGCCGGAGGGGAGGCGTGAAAAGCGTTGCGATGGGCGACAAAAGAGCGGCATTTCCTTTTTATCTTCTCTGTGGCTGCTCTTATCGGTTCGGTGTTACAATATCTGTATCTGTCTGGTGACCCGCCAGCCGACCATCCGATTAGCCTAATGCCTGTCTCTTATCCGATCTGAGCCGACGATCATCTCTGGGATCTGTTCAGGTCTCCTCCAGCTCTCCTCCAGCTCTCCTCCAGCTCTCCTCCAGCTCTCCTCCAGCTCTTGTCCAGGCATCCATCCAACCATCCGTGATGATGCTGCATTATGTCATTTACTTTTTTTCTACACCTTCTGCGGCCTTAACTCCAGGTTATCTATCACTGAGATCGAAGACCGATCGCCAATGCAGCTGCCTCTTTCACAAAAAGCAGCTACGCCTTCTTCGTGGATTTTATGTGTATTTTAGTGCATGAATATGACTCAATTGAAGGGGAATCTACAAGGATTAGGGCTGAAAAATAGAGGGTTTAGATATTACTATAAAATACTATCTATTTATTTATAATATATTTAAAATATCATATATCAAAAGCGAGCTTTATCAGGAACATTGAGACATAAAGAGCTAGTTTCTCAAACTCAAATATTTACAAGTTCATTTGTAAACAATTTATGCAGTAAAAACATTAATTTTTACTATTATATATAGCTTTTAGATACGGTTTTAAAGAATTCAAATTCTATATCAAAACCCATTTAAATTTACAATACAACCTTACCTCTAATATCTAACTTATTTACTTCCCATTGTCTGATTTTTCCCCCCATTGTCTCCATTATCTTTTAAATAAAATCTCAAAAAAAGGCTATATAATCCCAAAATGCTCTGAAAATCGCCTGTGCAGCCCTGATCCCAGTGGGTCGTTGTTGAATCTTTGATGGATGTGCATTGTTTGGGAATTTGTTAAACGCCACATTATGTCAATTTGGCATCGCCGCCGAACGATCGAACGGCTTTTGGGTCTTAGCCAGTCCAAGTGAAGCGTCGCTCACCTTTGATCACCTTTTTGGTGATCGGTGATCGGTGATCAGAGATCGGAAGATTGGAATCCGGGCGTCTTCTAATAACATCCCAACCGTTGCCGCCAGAGGAAAATATTGAATATTGAAATATGAATGCAAACAGAGAAATATTTTCCTTTCATTTGCGGCGTGGCTCAAACGTTTTCTCGGTTTCTTCTTGAAGGGGGCAAGAGGAAAGGGTTTTTTATTTTTCTTTTATTTTTTTACCAAGTAAACATGTCGCCACTTGACTGACAGCTGACTTGCCCCCAGTCCCTTAACCCATGGTTGCCGCAGCATTTTCCATCTGCCGCTGCTCGACTTTGATGGGCGGCAAAACGCGCCGTCAGCTAATCAATGCAATTAGCCCCCGGACTCTGGACTCCGGCCTCGGTGACCCCCAAAATGTGGAACCTTTTAAAATGCCAAGCATTTTACACACGCACACGGGGTGCCCTCCTCCATCCGCCCCTTTGGCCCTAGGAATCTCCTATTATCCCGAATGCACTACAAATGCGATTTCCTTTCCGCTTTCACAGAGAGAGAAAAATTGGGGATAGAAAACTAAAGGAAAATGGATATCACAAATATTTAAAATGCTTATTAAGTTGTATAAATATTTTAATATAAGAAATTAGGGCTTAAAAATGATTAATATGGTTTATTTACTTTGACGAACTATTGTAACATATTTATTATTTTGACTTTTAATTAATCAATGCCTTAAAATACTTAAATATGTTGAATCAAATGTTATATTTGAATTATTTTTTTCAGGTAATTAAGATATTATTTCTCACAGTGCATGTTCAATTATTGTTTATTTTGGTTTTTGGAGCTGCTAGTTGGGTGTGTGGAGGAGCGTCGTCGTCGGCAAATGGACTGCCATATATAAAAATGCACTCAGCCCGCTGCCTAGACAATAAATATGAATTTGAAAGTGTGGCCTGTGCCTGAGATCGGCCGACTCTCACTCCCACTCCCCCTGCGTGCCGCCTGGAGCCCCTCTCCGAGGTGTATCTCCGCCTGGTTCCTCCCGGTGGCATCCATTAGCCCGTCGGCTAAATATAGTGCACTGAAGGCCCATGATAAATGCCGCACAGGGGGCGCCATGTGCCGCCAGCTCAGCCGTTTGGATCTTCATTGAGTCTGGCCACGGGTCCCGAGTTCCGATTCCCGAGTCCCGAGTCCCGAGTCCCATGTCCCTGGCCCTTAGTTACCACAGATTTCTCAGTTCTTTTTTTCCTACACAATGTGAAAATGTGTTCCTAAAACGAGAAAAAAGAAAGGGTATTGGAAAAAAGCAATCAAACTAGTTGGGAAGTAAATAAAACTGATATACAATATTTATCCCTTTTACAGAGTATTAAAATTTAAGTCAGAAATATAAAACGTAGTGAAGGAATCATTTCCGACCCTATATTCATGATCAGCATCAACAGGAGAATCTTTCTAGCTATATTCGGTCGAAAATTTATATTTTTTTAGATTTTAAACTGAGTATGCAGAATTGTTAACCTCATAAAAACTAACTAAAGCTTTCCGAATTAAAATTAATGCATTTTTGGCAGAGTTATGGCTTTTCTAAATATTGATTCTTTGTCAAAACTGTCGTATAAAAACATCGATTCCAAAGAATGGAATGCTTTAAAATTTAGTACAAATTCTCAACCTAATTCCTATCTTTAAACACAGTATCTCCCAGTCGTATCCTAACCCATAGGAACCCCATGTATTTTGGCTTTTCTTAACACATCGTCACTGTCAGTTGGATAATTGTGTGGCATATGTTTTTGGTGGAGGCACTTTCGCGGTTCATTTGTCGCTCATCCCAAGGTACTTAGTACTTGCTACTTGCTACTTGCTACTCCCTCATTCATCCCGTACTCATTCCAGTGATTTAACTGTCCATCAGTTGGATTGAGCTGGTTGGATTTTTCTCTCGACTCCAGACTGATGCCAATCGTGGGCCTAAGCCTCGGCAAATTGACTTCAAGCCGGCACCGATCAAGCCAATTTGTGGCCCCTTCGCTCCTTTTACGTTCGATATTTCCACCGCGTCATGATCCGCCGCGATCTTGGCTGACTTGGACTGACGGGCTGACTGACTTCCATGACGTTGGTTATTTCTTTAAGGCCTCCCCCTTTTAAGATTCGGAGATTGAGTTATCGAGATATGACACTGACACTGACGAGCGGCGAGGCTGCACTTCCTGCTAACCAGAAGAAACAGGTGACTCCGCTCTGTGGGTATTTATTTACCTGCACAAATTTAAATGTAAAAGTTTGCTTAAAGGTAAATGTAAATGTTAATGTAAATGTTAATGACCGATGCGGGCGTCGCGAATTCATCAACTTGCCCAGCTTGGCTTGTCAACTTAGCCAACAAACCGAAGGGGCAATTAAACCAAAAAACAAAAAAAGAAAACAACACAAATATACATTCGTCATTAACGATTTTTGTGTCGCATTATGCTTTTTGTGTTGCCTGTGTTTTTTTTAACGATTGTGTCTCTTCTCCTCGGCGAATATTTAACAAATTTTATTGTACAATCGCATGCGCATTCTCCGAAATAAACAAAGTATATTTGGCATCAGAGACGAATCAAAACAGGGAATAAATCAGGAGGTTTCAGAGTCACTTAAAGAATGCTCTTTTGTGCGATTTATTTACAATATTTATTATTGATAATACTATCAATTAATACCCTAGTTAGTCTATTTTTGGTAAAATATGTTTGGTAATACATAGTACCTATTATCCGTAAAATAAAGTTTATTAATAAGATTATTTCTATATAAATCTTTGACTAAAGTCAACTCTAAATTCTTATTATTTTAATTATATACTTTAATTTAGGAAAAGTATATTACATATTCACTAACAAAGTAGATATGATCCCAAATCCCAATCAGTAGAAGAGCATCAGTGGCTTGCGCAAGCCAACCATCAAAAATTGAAGTAGCCATAAAAACATCTCGAGTATAATGTTAATGTTTTCATCAGGCTCGCTTTGTCGCGTTTCTGGTTTCACTCACCGTATATATTTTATATATATATTTGCTTTTTGGCAAGAGAGAAAGGTGTTTCCAAGGCAGTTGTTTCCATGTGTTTTACAAGCGAAATAGATAGATATATTTTAGATGCGGCGAGTCTAGCTTTGATTTATGCTAATAGAAACGCATAAACCTGTGCCGCGACTTGGCTGGAAATGTATGCAAACGTTTTCGAGATTGTGATTTTAGAGAAGGGGTTAAACTGTGCCATTCGTAGGCCTACTACCGATGGAGGGGTCAAGGCAGTGAGGGATTTCGGTTTTAGAGGGACTTCTCGGGGGGTTGCGGCCATGTCAAACGGAAATCATCGCACACAACTGCAAACTGCAGCGGTTCGGGGACACAATGGGGGACAAAAGGCAAAGGCAAACCTAATGGATTTCCGCTTCGACCAAAAACCCAAAGGCGGAAAACCATTGCCACTTGAGGAGACCCCGACACACACATCTTCTCAACCCAAAACCAGACCTCCTTCTGCCTCTTCTACATGGGGAGAAATGTTTTAATAATTTATTTGAACAGTAAGTGTATTATTCTATATTTAAACTGGAGTAACAAGTATTTTTCAGAATGCTTTCAATTGATTATGGGAATACATGGAAAACTTACGGTTTAAAGATCTTCCTGACTTTTTTTCCTTAAAATAAACTGTTGTTTCCACAAAGTGAAGAAAAAGTGACCATATGGAGTAAATTATGTATGACAAAGTGTGACCTTAGTAGTGTTTATAACATAACTATCGATAACTCACGAGCTTCCAGCTTACGTGCCATTAAAAAACAAGCCTTCACATCTCTAGCCTTAAAATCTTTTTCCAAATTTTTGGAAAATTTTTCGCAAAACTCAACAAAAAGAAATTTCCGCAATGGCCGAGGATGAGAACCAGATCGAGCATGAAGTAGTGGAGCCCAAGGAGCCCATTGTGGCAGGTGGAGCCTGCACCCGATGGCTGCAGCGGGTAAGGCGAACGCGATTCCTCCGTTGGATTGCCCTGCCCAAGGTTGGTGGTAACAAGATACACCGCGACCAGGAGGCTCAGCTCCAAAATCAGGTGCAAAGGCGCCTCTTCTGCTATTGGATGTTGATCGGCTGCTTTGCCCTGGGACTGTTTCTGGAGCGTTACATACACTCCAGGGCTCCCAGCATGCAAGACAGCTACTGCAAACGTTCTTATCGGTTGGGAGACATGATGACCCATGTCCGCCGTCAGGTGTTGCTCCAGGAGCAGGCACTGGATCAGCTAGAGTGGGCCCTGGACAATGGCACCTTTCGGGTGGGTAGTCCTGCAAACGGATTCGTATTTTACTTGATTTTATATTTAAAACCTTACCAGAACATCGCCTTAGTGGGTACTCCTGACGTGGGCAAAAGCCACACTGCCCGGTCGCTCCGAGAGACCTTTCCTTGGCCGGAAAATGTGAAAACTCTCTCCTGGCGGGAATCTCCTTCCCTGCTGCGTGTCCAGAGCATGCTGAAGAACCTCCTCCTGTGCGGACAGAACCTCATCCTGATCGACGACTTGACTCCACTGAATGGACACTTGGTGCCGATCATTAATGAGCTGATCCGCGGACGAAAGGAGATCGCCCAGGCCTCATCCTCATCCAAAAAATCCGAGTCCGATCCACGTCTTAAGCAGTTAACTTCGATCTTTATATTCACCCTGGATCGCCATCAGCCAGAGGAGATTTTCCAGGCGGAAATGGCAGCTCTTAAGGAGCTTCCGGAAACCCATGTCATTATCTATGCCGCCCTGGAACACAGTCAACTCGCGGAAGTTAAGAATGTAGCCGGCTCCGAGGAACTAGACCAGGATATAGAAAAGGTGCGAGTCAATGAATCCAACGATGACCAGGAACAATTGACTAAAGAGGAAACCTATTCACCGTCATTCAATTTCCTTTACTGAAGTGAAGGACAGAATGTGAGATGCCAGACTGTGGATATCCTTAAATTACATGTAATGTTTATAAATTGTAATAACCAAAATATGCACTATACAAATAATAAACATGAAAATAGAAAATATAAATTATATACAAAAAATATGATCTACTCTTTGGATCAAATTTCTTACTTTTCTGAATTTTGTTTTTAATTATTTACATACTTCTTATTTTTTTTAATATTATTATTATTATTTTTAATATTAAACATATATTCTTTTAATTTTCCTCAGTGCTTGGCTTTTACCTTTTTCTATTAAGTGCAACCAAGTGCTTGAATGACATTTGTAGGCCTCTCCACTGTTGGCCATCTTGAGTCAGTGAAAACCTCTGCTTTTCCCCCACATTTTCCCTCCTGTTTTTCGCTTTTTTCACCGTGCGAACCGCCTTGGGCCATGGCTAGCTGTTTTCCAAAGCCATTGTTCTGTTTTTTTCGTTATATTTATTTTGCAATGTTTTTCCATGTAACTAGCTCTGAAAGTCGGGTTTATTCTTTGCCTGGTACCCAGGTGTCGCAGACGGTGCCACCTTTATGCCTTAACCCTTCGACAAACAGTTGCGGTGACAGGGAACAGGTGTAGCAGCTAATTCTTTTGCCAGAGCCCAGCCACGATTAAGGTGCCAGGTGGGAAAGTAGGAAAAAGTGTGGGTGCCAGGTTGAGGTTGGAGAACAGAACAGATAAAGGAACATTAATTGCTTTGAGGAAGAAGCTGAAATATGTCGTAAAAAATATTCCAAAGATTGGGGAATATTGAAAATAAAACAAATTATCATTATTTATCATTTAATTGGTAAAATTATCAATTAATCTAAATTATTATACATTTCTGATTGACTTATTTATAAAAAAAAACTATATTAAAAACAAATTAACAATGAATATAGATTGTTTCTCTTTTCTTAAGATTTTCAGTAATTTTTAGCTTGTAACGCAATGAAGGAGTCGTTTCCGACCCTATAAATCATATATATTATTGATCATATATGGAACAAAATTTTAATTTTAATTTTTCGAAATTTTATAAGGGTTTACGCCGTTAAAATTGTCAAAATGTGAGAAAATATTTAAGATTTTAAATTTTTAATCTTTATATGCCGATTTATTAAGCTTCTAAAAACTGGCACAGAAAGTTTTCCGAATTGAAATCAATATATTTAGAGCTTACTTATGATATTTTAAAAACTTCAATTTACCTAAAAAATTAGCATAAAACATTGTATATATCCATTATTAATTAGAATTAATCAAATGTTCAATTGAATAATAAAATAATAAATAGATAAAGGAGCTTTTTTTATTTAACACAAATTATAACAAGGTATTTTTAAATTGAAAAATATTATGTTCTACGCAAGATCTGCATGGCCTGGCCATTTGTCAATCCTTTTAGCCCCCACAAAACAGGACGAGGACATATTGCCGTACCCTTAGATCTCTCTCTCCTCCTCCCTCTTTTCGTTATGCATTTTTCGCTGAAACATTTTTGGTGCTTTAATTATTATTTAATAGATTCAGTGACGAATTTTCGCGTTTCGATGGGATCGAGCCTTGTTGGTTGGTTCTCATTAGCATAACAAACACTTTTGGCGAGGACACTTTTGTCGGTTGTTCGCCGGTTCGTTGTTGTTCCGCTGAATTACAAATGTTATTTGCACAAAGGCGCAGAAATATTGCATAAATTCACTTTTATTACACTGCAAGGAGAGGGGTAGGGAGGAGAGGGTTACAACACACACACTTACACACAAATGGAGCCTTCGCGTTGCGTTGGTATTTATTGAGCGTCGACGCCATTTTGTTTGAACCTTTTGAAATATTTATGCGTTGAAATCAACACGCAACATACACACACAGAGTGGAGCGCAGTGGAAAAGGGGGGAAAAGAGGGAAAAGGGTGCTCAACAGCAACAAATGTTAACTGAAGTTATCCCTTCATCTTTTCACCATATTTTCCCCACATTTTCCTTTACCAAGCTGTAACCAGTGTGGAGTTTTCACTATGGTTTTCTTTTATAAAAGGCTAAAATAAAGTTGTTTGGGTTAGGAATATAGTTTTAATTTATTTTATCTAAGAAGATATTTTTCAAGTTTGATTTTTAAATTATTTTAATTATATATATGTGGTAATTAATAATAATAATAATATATAACTTTAAATACAAATATTTTACTATACAAAATATAATTTAGGATATATTAATACTGTACAAATTAAGAAAAATATATCAAATCAAGTTTTCTAATTTAATAAATTATTTGAAATATTTGAGACAAATAAGCAATGTTTAACTGATCTTAAAAAAGTAAATATAAACTATTAAAGAAGAAAAAAACAGCTATAAGCTATACTATCCTTTAATTGATTATACTTTTCCATAGTTTAATTACTGTTGGTATAGTTATCACAGCATTTACAAAGCCCAGTCATAATCCAAACCAAATACTTATTGAGCTATAAAACTGCATTAAAATGGCATATATATTATGGCCAAAATGACAGCTCAGCTGTGCAACCAGCGAACGAATAACCAACACGTTGGCCATCGTTATCCTTTCGCTCCTTGACGTTGCACGCCGAATGGCAAATGGCGGCGGGTCCCAGGGTCCTTTTCCTCTGCGGTGCAGTCCCTTCCACCCAATCCTTCCTCCCCATCCCTTCGCTCCCTCCAGCCAGCCAGCCAGCGCGCTTTCGTTGTAATTACAATGCAGTTTAGGGTGCTGAAAGCTTTTGTGAAAATGTGCTTTATGAAATTATGATTATAGCTCAACAGCTGCACACACACACCCAGAGAGAGAGAGAGAGCGACATAAACACACACAGCACTGGAGGGGCATGGGGGCAAGGGAGGGCGAACTGGCATTTAAATGTGTGGCAGCTTGTGCAAATAATGAAAATGAAACAACACTTTGGCGCATTAAAAGCATTAAAAACAGTTTGCCATACAAATGGGTCCCGTCTCTGTCTGGCTGCCTCTGGGGGATGTGTGTATGGGCCCACAGTGCGTATACATAATGTGGACTCGAAACATACGCATACGCCCCATAGGCCGCGTCGTTTTTTTTGCTGTTTGTTTGTTTATAATTTTTTTGGTCTCAAAATACAGTGTCCAGGGGTCCAGAAGCCAAGTGTTGTTGGGGGTAAAAGAGGTGGGGTAAAAGGAGATTCCTTTGTTTTTTTGTTAGTTATCCTTGGGGTGAAAATGAATGTGTTAGGCTGAAAATATGGAATTAAATTAAATTATAGCCTTGAAAATGCAAGTGCTATAAGTAAATGATAAATAATAAGTAATAAAGTAAATAAAATCTATATAATAATAAAATAAAATAATAAATAATAGGTAAAATTTCTTGAAATAAATTATTTTCCTCAACCAATTAAACAGAAAACTTAATTCTGTATAACATTTCTTAGAAAATCATAGTATTTCACTTAAGAAAATCAATTATTTTCCAATGCTATGAAATTTTAAAGATATTTTTATTAATATTTTATTTTTTAAAGATATTTTAAAGAAAACTAAAGTCGTTTTCAGTTTTTAAATTGGTTATTTAACTAAATAATAAGAAATCCTTTTATCTTTTTATGCCAAAGGTGAATAATATCAATAAACTTGAATAGAAGTGATAATAAATTGAATTGAAATCATTGTAAAGCATGGAGACTTATTAACATAATGCTTTCATAATATATAAACATTGAATATACTTCAAGTACAAGAAATATATCTTTGAATGTCCCTTACACTCTTGTTCTGAATTAAAATTATCTAAAATTTTGAGAGATATAGTCATTAAATGTAACAAAGTAAAGAATATTATATATATATATTTATAATATATTATTTTTCTCAAGACTTTTTTTTGCCACAGAACCCAGGATAAGAGCACCCTCATTTGCATCTAGCTCCTCCTTCACACACACATTTATTATTGTATATTTTCCGTGTGTGTGTTTTTATTGTGGGTTTGACCTCACACACTAAGCCCCAGGCCAGGACATAGCCATGAGTTGTGGGATGCGCCCGGCACAAATTGCATTTTCAACACTTTTGTTTATGCAAAAAAAATATTTATGCATGGGTTTTCAGTCCTTAGGCTCCACCCCCTCCCCAGGACCTCTCTCTGTCTCTATGTCTCTCTGAGTGTGCGTGTGTGTGTGCTGAGGGGCTTAAGGCACCCCCACCAAACCCCCCTTCTGTGTGTGCTGCTGCATAATGCAATGCAAACATGATTAATGCAAATGTTTTGCGTGGTGGGCGTGGCGCGAGGTGTTGCTTTACATTTGCATTTTGGCTTACAAGGATGCAGGAGGAGCCAGGACCAAAAACCACGAACCAAACCGAACCACACTTAGTTGTGCAGCATCTAAGCAGCAAACAGAAAATGTTCACATTTTCACCTCGCTTCTCAGCTCAGGTTTTATGTCATTCTGTTTTCTATATTTTTTGAGTGTTATTTTTGTGGCTGCATTTTTTGTCACATTTTTTTTTGTAGATTTTTTGTCACATTTTTCAAGCACTTTACGATCTCGGGCCTATAACTTGCTGAATTTATGACAAATTGCCGGAGAGGCGCGATAAGGAAAAGTGAAAGGCTTGGCCAGAAAACGAGGCTTTGGCCTTAGCTCTACGTTCGAATAGTCCTTCGGGTGGCTGCGAAACCCGTTTCAGCGATGGATTCCCCCTGGGTTAACATCCCCACAAGCCCGGGGCTCCATCGCTCTCCACCTCATCCGCGATACCCTCTCTCCAGCAGTCACATCCACAGCCCCATCAAGATGGCGTCGCTTTCATTGCACACAAAAGTGTAAAATGTTTACGCTTCGCTTGGGTTTCCTTCAGCCTTTACCCTGAGTCCTGCGTCCTGTGTCCTGTATCCTGCCTCCTGCCTCCTACATCCTGCATCCTAGCTTGTTGAGGCTGTTGGGATCGCTTGGCTGAGCTTGGTTGGGTTGGACAACTTGGCCCGAACCAAGCCAAGGCGGGCTCATTCGTGCGGAATGAACCGTTTTATGCTCTACTTTTAAATTAACAGGTATATTGATTTGTTGAAAGATTTCATTT